ACACGGGGACCGCGCGGCCGCGGCCTTCCCGCACGGCTGCGGGGCAGCGTGGGGGGATCAGCGTTCCCGCAGGGATTGCAGGGACGGCGTGGGGGGATCAGCGTTCCTGCGTGACTGCGGGGCAGCGTGGGGGGATCAGCGTTCCCGCAGGAACTGCAGGGCAGCGTGGGGGGATCAGCGTTCCCGCAGGGACTGCAGGGCAGTGTGGGGGGATCAACGTTCCCGAGTGACTGCGGGGCAGCGTGGGGGGATCAATGTTCCCGAGTGACTGTGGGGCAGTGTGGGGGGATCAATGTTCCCACACGGCTGCAGGGGAGCATGGGGGGATCAGTGTTCCCACAGGGACTACAGGGAGATCAGCGTTCCCGCAGGAACTGCAGGGGCAGCGTGGGGGGATCAACGTTCCTGCGTGACTGTGGGGCAGCATGGGGGGATCAGGGGATTGCAGGGGGAGCATCTCCCTGATGAGATCATTCCCTACGAGTTGAAATTAGCTTTCGTAGGTGGCCACCTCTTCGTTTCTCCTTCTGAGGAATGTTGTCCGTGGGACTGGAGTGTGGTGCGAGAGTGAGAAAGCGAAGGAGGAAGGTACATGTTTACATGAAATTTGGATAGCTTGGGAAAGGAGCGGAGGAGAAGCAAGAATGCTCCCATGGCCTAGTCTGGGCTCTGAATTTCAGCAACTGAGAGATTTTCACACCACTTCATTCATCTTTCAAGGTAGAAGACCATTATGTAAGGCCACATGTGTGCTGGAAATACTTTTAAAATATAAATTCCTGGAAGAGTGAAGTCCTAGGCAACTCAGTTCATATATGAAAGCTCTTCTGCCTCAGACGCTACCTCTTTTCTTAAAACAAACAAACAAACAAACAAAAACAAACAAACAAACTCCTGGGAGAAGTTAATGGGGATGGGGATGAGGGAAAGGTATGTGAGGCAGCCCCGTGGTTGTCAGGTTTGCATTTGTCTCTTCTCTCACAAAGAGCTCACAGAAAAGAAAAACTATGTGGCTGGACAGAAAAAATCGTTAGGGAAACATAGCTCATTGGAGAGGACAAGAAGTATGTGCTTGCTCAATAATTTGCTTATATGACTGAAAACTATGGATTTGTCTTATCTCTGTAAAATGCTCAGAGCTAAAGGAGCAGAATTATATTCTAGTTAAGGCATAAGATCCTGATTGTAGAACCAGAGTCTGTCCTGAATTGCATTGATACAAGCTGATGAGAACAGCATTTGATTCCAAGAATCCAGATTACATCCTGGTTGTATCAAAATCAACAGAAAGAAGTTAACTTGGCTTTCCCAGATCTGGAGATCTGGCAGACACTTACTGATTTTATCTGTATTGTTATCTGAAATAACTGAATGGTGCCTGAAAAACTATTTTCTAATTTCAGTGTGAAACAACTGTTTTGAAGAGGGATGAATTTGTCTATTTTAAAGGCCTGATTAGGAGTCTTCTGAAATCATCTAAAATCTTCTTCTTGTTTGGAGGAGATAGAGAATTCTCAGCTCTAAACACTTAGGCTTCTCACTGGTATTTTAGTTTAGGAAAAGCGATGATTTATTCTCCTGTGCAAATGTTTGCTGATGTGTGGGGTTACCACAGCCTCAGACTGGGTTGGAAATCTTCAGACTCCCTTGAACATGGTTTTGTAAGGCCATTTCTAGCTAGTAATTGGTAACTGGAGGTTGTTAGAGTAGTTAAATAAATATACAGAGGAAAAGGATGAATCATTTAGTAAATAAAATATTGATGCTTTAGGAACTGTTATTATGTACAATACAGTTGTAGCAGATGTGATGAACTTATTTTCTGTTGTTAGGAAAATGCTTGCCTGAAAGATAAGTTTCAAATTAAGAACTGAATCTAAATGTGTAGTTCCAAACCTGTGCATATCTACACCTCCTAGATGCCTATATTACCTCAAATTAGACTCTTTATCACTTGGCAGCTTTTAATATGGATACATTAAAAAAAAGAATGCACTTTTCTTTGTATCTTTTCTTTATATATATCCCCTCAGAATATGATCTATTAACCTGAAAATATATTAGAGACATTTTTACTGTTGTGACTTTAAATATAGCTGCG